TAAAATATATTTTAATATCGATTATCCATTAGAATCTTCAAAACATAAATTTTGTATATTATATTCAATAATGATAATAATAATTATATATATATATATATATATGACATAGAAAAGTGTAGTTTCTGTGCAATCTGTTTTATCTTCAGTTTATACAATGCTTTAATTGCACGTATTTTTGCCAAATTTATTATTTTTATCATTATTAGTTATGTTAAAAATTATTAACTTGTTAGCACCTAAACTGTACGGATCATAAGATATTATTTAGCATTTAGTTATTATAGTACTTTCAGTTATTAAAGTTTGGTCTTTACAAATGTTGTTTTTGTATTGGCATTATATTTAAAACAGAAACCACTCTTCTGTTAGCGTGTTTATTAAAAGATCATAATGTAAATGTTCAAAAACTACACTCAATACATTACATTACTGATTAAAAGCTATATTTGTTTTAAAGAACAAAAAATAATACAATAAATTTTGGAGTTTAAGGAACCTTCTTTGTTTCTTAAATTAGTGATCACCTCCTAACGATATATTTTTCAAATTGTATTGTTATATAGGAATCGTCCTCTTTCTATGAATTTTATATTGTAGATTTCCATTTTTTTATTGGATGCTTGTACTTGGTTGCCTCGTTTTAACTGTCTAAACTCACATACACACTATATATATTAAAATTTATTCCAATGGTTATCACGGGTTATTTTTAATCAGTAAGAACAGATTTTAAGCTAGACATACCTTCCACTTTACTCCACTATATATATAAAAGAGTTCTAGTGTTTTTCTTTGAGTTTACATTGTGCTTATTTCACACTAAAACTTTATACGTTTCACAAATACGCTCTGTTTTGCAGCGCTCTCTAACGGCTATCGTTCTCGCTGCTTTATGTATTTTGGTTCTGACGGTGTCAGTTGATGCAAGGCGTTCACGCAAACTGCAGAGAAGACCCAATAGTGATGAATCTGCGAATAATGAAGATGGCGAGCAGCTTGCTGTAATTGAGGAAGAGAATCCTACTTCTTCCGGAAAGAGACCTAAAGCTAAAGAAAACCATGCAAATAGTGACCAGGCTCTTTCTGTTCCAGCTACAGAAAATAAAGAGACCGGAGAAAAGAGCCAAACTTCTTCAGAGCCATCAACTGAAGAAAATCAGAAAAAAGACAACACGAATAGACTCCATGGCCCTTTAACGCAATTATTTCGTAGACGAAGTACCCGAAAACCATTGCATTTTCATCACAACAAAAAACAACCAAGGCCCACGCTACCTTCTTTTTTATCTCGTTCTAGATCAAAGACAAGTGCCCCCAGTAATTCCTCCCCAGATGAAGAAACTTCAACAAACAATTATGAAACGGCAGAGCCTAAATCTTCAAGACATCAACGCCCTCAAGTGGAAGATTCTAAAGACACTGGAAGACGTATAAACCGCAGACGTTTTTCTCGTCGCAGACAACAAACAAAGAAACAGGATGGTAGTGAATAAAATTTAAGTTTTTTCGGTCTATTTTTTTTTCATCTACTTCTAGTGAAAAAAAATAATACATTCTTTAGTTGCCCCTTGTTATTGTGTTTGGCCATATTTTAGAAATTCGCGAACACGTGGCGAGGACAAACTAATGGAAAAAATGTAAATCGAGTTTGTTTATTTTTGCTGTTTTTTCTGACGATATGAATGGTGTTTAAATATCTACTCCTCATTAGGAACCCTACCGTGGGGTTAGTCTATTTCACAATCAACATCATTGCTTTTTTTCCCGTCCATCAAATGTTTACCTATGAATATTATATAAACATGTAATCACCTCTTCTTTCGTACACTTTTGCATTTATTTTCAGCATTTTAGGTGTTTTTTTTTACCGTGATAAAGCGTCAATATTTAATTTTGAATCACAAATTTCTTTAGCTGAGTACTTATACGTAGTTCCAGATAAACTATAACATTAAAAAGGCAAGAATTTTTATATAAAAATAATTTGTTTACGAAAAGAGCAAATAATGTTGTATGTAATTTAAAATATGCACCGAAATATTCAAACTATCTCGAATTCAAGCAAGACAAATTTTCAGTTAATTTTCTGTATTAAAAACTATAGCCTGTGTGTTCATTGCTAAGTTTGGCTAAGAGAGTACAGTGTTTGGTTACATAAAGAAGAAATAACAAAAGCACCTGTTCAGTTAAATTAAATTTTGCGTATAAGCTTACACTCTTTGTTTCTTGTCTACTTTATTGTTTACTACATTAAATTATGCTACAGAAACCAGCAATACAAAACAGGGCATTTTCTCACTACAATGCGCAGATTTTATTATTATTACAATTATTATAGAATCTAATATTCTTAGCGAATTTAGTGGAATAACCTATATAAAAGCAATGTAGGTGTTCGCTACTATTAATATTTTAACCAACATGGCGTGGCTTAGCCATGTGATAGAGCTCTGAATTTTAAATCTGACTAGCCGGGTTCGAATCCGTGTAAAACAGCAAAATATTTCCAGTACTTTAAACTGTCAGTGCATTATAAGAGTAACAGTCAATCCCTTAGCGTGGATAGTAAGATGCTGCTAACTGAGCGTTTTATCTCTGTTAGCAACTAAAAATTAGGAACAGGGTTGAATAAAGTACAATTAACCTAGTTGACGCCCTACATGGTATTTGTTTTGTTTGTATGCGATCGCAGTTGTTTTGTAGGTGCAAATATGCTTTCCCGGCATGGCCAGGTGGTTAGAGCGCTCGACTCGCAATCTGAGGATCGCAGGTTTGAATCCTTGTCCCACCAAACATGATCGCCTTTTCAGCTGTGAGGGCGTTATTATGTGACGGTCAATCCCACTATTCGTTAGTAAATGAGTAGCCCAAGAGTTGGCGGTGAGTGGTGATGATTAGCTGCCTTCCCTCTAGTCTTTCACTGCTAAATTATGGACAACTAGC